TGCGCAAAAACAGACGCCACATGCACTTCAGTCGCCCAAATGCCCTCTCCACACACCCCCGCGCCACCTTCTGCCGCGTGTCGAAGCGCTCGTCGTCAGGATGTTGGTCGATTCCTCCGTACGGCTGCACGATCCATGGACAGGCAACTGGATAACCGTTGTCGCCTAGCAGGTAACCTCGCGTGACGACACCGTGCGGCAGATTGTCCGGAGGTGCGTCGAACAACTCGCCAGCTTCTGCACGCCTCCACAGCTGGGAATTGTGCAGGACGCGTACATCGTGCACGCTTCCCGGGTATCCGATGTGGACATCGAGGATCCGCAGATCCAAATCCACCACCACCTGCGCCTGCACGGATAACTTTTGTTTGCGGTCGTAGTAGTTGTCGGAAGGTGCGCCGGCAGGCTTGTCAATGTAGATGTGTGTACAGTCGATTGCGCCAAAGCAGTTTGGGAAACCCTTGTCACGGAATGCGCGCAGAATCTGCGCACGTCCACGGCCAACTGGCCACTTGATAGCGTCGGGGTACGCCTGGAGCAGCGCTGAAGTGACGTTGCGGACGGCCTGCAGTCCAGTTGCCCTGCCGATGCCGAAGGACGAAGTGCCGCTCTCGTACGTCTCTCCTGACGCCCACCTGTACAACGCGAAAGTGATCACCTGCTCCACTGGCAAAGGCATCCTATAGTGCGTCACCTTCTTCTCCACGTACGCGGCACACGCGGCAACGATCTGTCTGAACATGGCCCATGACATGCTCAACTTCTGCCGGTAATACTCGCCCGTCGCGTCATCACAGAGGCGGAGATCCTCCCATGTCCCGCCAGTCCGTCGTTTGATCCACCAACGCGGGGTCCGCCGCGGGAAAACGCCAGATGACTGGACGACTGCCTCACACGCTGCCACGCAATCCGGCGCTTCGGCAATGCGCTGCAACAACACTCTTCGTTTTCGGAGCTGTGTCAGCATGTCGCTTGAGGACGACGACATGCCGCCCATCGTGTTCACGACGACGGCAGTGAACGCCATCGCGACCGCGTCGATCTCCTCTTTGCGCAGACCGTGCCCGCTGACGCGAAGATCCATCTCTGGGAATCTTCCTCCCCGAAGAGCGTGACGCCTGCCACAAACGCTGAAGACACGCCCGCTGCTGAACCAAGTGAAGAGAGACACGCACACCGGACCCGTAGATGCGGCCGCTGACGTACGCTGCAACAGAAGATGGCGTGTGTCGGAGTCCACAAGACAGCACACAGCGATGGTGGCGACGATGCGCCTTGCCGGAAGTTGCCCCCGCTGCTCGCAACTCGCGTGGACTTGGAAGATGGATACCCGCGCCGAACACTTCGCCAGCGCCGTCTTTTGTACGTCATACGCGTCGCCCGACCGTCCTGCGCCCCTGCTGCCTTGAGTCCGCGAAAATTCGAATTTGAATTTTTCAAGTTCGGGGTGACCGCGCTTTTCACCCACCCCTCCTCGCCCGCCCAAGGCCTCCGCAGTGTGTACCACGGACACCAGCCAGGACCCGGCGGACATCGGCGACGCGGCTGCGTATACGAATATGAGAACGGGCCACGGGAGACGTTTTAGGACGAATCCTAAAAGACGATTTTTAGGACTGCATGTAACGGCGCCGCACGGAATCCTAAAAATCCTTTAGGACTCGTCCTAAAAATTTTAGGATTCTTTTAGGAGTGTCTAACGAGACCCTAAAATAAACTGAACAACTTTTGCCTCAGGGTCACATCCAAATTCTTTACAGACTTTACCAAATTAAAAATAACAATTTAAATTAAAAAAATAATTTGCATTTTTTTATTTTATCATTGGGGCAACGGCTCGTGGGTCACAACCCACGTTTTGAATGGGCACAAAAAACAGTCGTCCGCAGGTCCGTCCCGACCGTAGTTCAAAACGGCAATAATAACAGTGGCCCGCGTTATACACATGGTGCCTGTTTGAAACAGGCACTTTTGTCTTTTTTTTTTTTCTTTTTTTCTTTTTTTTTTTT